TGTGTTAAATTAACTACAAGCAACAAAATGAAAAATGAAGAGCATATCTGAACTCACCAGTGATGTTGATAATTCAGCTGCATTCCCTTCTTCAAAAACTCCAGTTTATTTCTGTCACTAGCATTTTCTGGGTCATACGATTTTATACAAACTCTCTTGCATGTTTCAGGTTTGTTAAACTTGAACTGTTACAAACACACACAAAAAGCACAATTTTAAAATTATGTTTCCAACATTCCTTCTTAAAGTCTTTTCCCATCCAGATCCTTGCCCTTCAGGATTAAAAAAAAAATTCTGAAGTCAGTCTGTTTTTTCATACTGAGCTTCAGCTTAAGAATCAAGATTTCCAGGTGTCTTGTCCAAAACATTGCTCACTCTTAAAAGCATAATACCTCCAGTCAGAATTATACAAATACATGATATGTTAACAGTAAGATTTTTTCAGTTGAAAACTGGTAGAATTATATAAATACTTTTTCCTTTCTCCCCCACTCAGTTTTGCTCAACACAGTACATCAGGAAATTAGGTTATTAACAACATCCATTTCAAATGTTATTAACAACATCCAGATTTCAATGTAAGCTTTTAGACTCATCACAGATAGATGCTCTAAGAGCCTACAGTAGTACTGTTGCCAAAATACAGGAAGATGATGAACCTTTCCAGCTGAAGTGCACTTTTCCATTACGAAAAAAAAAGTCTGCACACATTTAAAATAGGTCAGAACTTACAATTGTCAGCTAGCAGGTGTAAAAGGCACAATTAGAAGTCCTAGTGTAGACAAGCAATACTTAAAATAAGAAGATACTACATAGCTTGTGGGCTATGTCAAAGGGAAACAAATAGGATGTCAAAATTCTCTACATTTGCATTGCCACATCATAAATAGTTTTTTAAAAGTGCATGCATACTGGTAGAGTAGATTAGTTTGTCTCAATTTCCATTGCATACTAACCAAAATTTTGTTCATATGAGGACTTCTACTTGAATATTCTCTATAAAATAAACATAACATTGAGTACTCTTGGGAAAAAGCATTTAGAGGTTTTCTTAGATGTGAAACTTACTGAATGGTAAGCAAAAACATTTTATAAAGAAAGAAATGCAACATTACACTAACAGTCCAAAACTCATGCTTGCTTTCAGTCCGCTGAACTTAACCAAAGGAAAGGCTGAGCAGAGTTGAGAGTGTAACTATCGAGTACAATATTGTCATGTTCAAGGGCTGGAATAACCTTGTATGGTGATGATGCTATTCTCTCCCCAAAAAGGACTTGCCCAAGATTTTCTGAAGGTCTTTTTTCTTCCTTATCTTGACAGAAATCAAAACTAAAGAAAAAGAAAAAAAAAATCCTTAATACAAACCCACTTCAGCCGAAATTTAGTTTTAAAAGAAGTCTGTTCATTAAACCACATCCCTGATATTGGAGTCTTTATGCCTTTTATCACCAATGGTTAACATCCATTTCCATTAACAACAAACAAAAGCAAACAACCTAATCTCAAAGAGATTAGATCATTTGTATATAAAATGTCAATTGCCCTCCAGGACACTCCCTAGAATAAGTATTATTTCTTTTAGATATAAAACAGTCATGTTTTAGTGCCAGGGCCTTTTGCAAAACACGTTTTAAGTAAAGAGGTTAGGCAAACTTCAGCCAAAAATAAATAAATAATCACGTAAATCACTGTTTATGTTCCTTCCACAGCACAAGGCCAAAGGAAGAATAATAAAAATATATCATTTCGGAGAAAAATTAATTTGCACGGGTTTTTTTGTGCATTCCAAACAGGGAGTATTTACACTAGGAGGCAAAATATGAGGCTATCAGTTTTTCTACAACTTCCTCCAGCACTTTTTTGTATTTAAACAGAGGAAGACTGGGGGAGAAGGCGAGGAACCTAACTATTCTGGTTCTACTTTTCACATATAAGTATCTAAAAGGTATAATAAAAAAAATATTTGCCACTAGTGACTGAGCTTCCCCCCAACTGCATGCAGGCCTAAGTCACTGAGATCTGTGCAACATTAAAGATAATTGCTACCTCTGTTTGCAATCTGAGACAAGCTCCAGTAATCTGCTGCTACCAAGCAAACACACAGTGAAATTTATGAGTTTCACTTGTTATTCACCAGTGGATTCCACAAACTTCACAATACTACCTCCCGGAAACAAACAGCAACAGAAATTAAACAAAAGGTCAGAGGTGGGAAACCACATTTCTTTTCAGGTTCACCTTGGACAGAGACAGAAAAAGAAACCGAAAGCCTCTAGTTTCCCAGCAAATAAACTTCCTTTTTTTTTTTTTTTTTTTAAATAACTATAAATAATTTGATTAGACAAGAGATTCATCTGGACCTCCCAAATGGGATGCACGGCATGGCAAACCCAGCCCCCTCATCTTCACCGTCCCCAATTAATTACTGACAGAGAAATACAAACATGTATTCCTTCACCTAGTCTGATCATGTTTTCAGGCTTCCCAGACATGGTGTCGCGTGACAAGGGGTCGCGCCGCATTGAAAGCGCAGGAGAGAAAACAGGCCAGGATGCGTCTGCCACATACTTACGCATCGTATTCGTAGGGCAGGACCGATTCCACCGAGTCCAGTCTGTTCACAAACAACTCAATGAGCGACTAAAAGAATGGGAAGGACAAATAAAACGAAACAGAAATCATAGGTAGACGAATACAGAAAAAAAATAAAGAACCTGAAAAGACTGTTCAACTAGTGAGACCCAGGCCGGGGGGCGGGGGGGTGATTCCCTCCCCCCCAGGCTGCACCTAGGCCAGCGCGTCTGTCGGTTTAGATCAGCCCATCCCTGCGTAGATGCGAGTGCCCTCTCAAAACATGTCATTTTCACTGATTTTTTGACTGCCCCCCCGCCCTCAGCCCCGTTCCTGCCCCCACTCCCACACTCAACTTCCCCTCCCCCCCGGAGCGCCAGGCTGGGCCGGGCCCGGCACCTTGCAGCCGTCGCCCTCCTTGCCCGGCTCGCAGAAGCTGACGGGCGCCAGGCCGGGCAGGTAAAAGGCGCGGGCGAGGGGCGCGAGCAGCAGCAGGAGTAGGATGCGGGCG